ATCTCAGGTCACTCCCCACGAAGTAACCTTCTCTCTCTCCTCCTCCCCACCCTCCCGAACCCTCACACTCCAACCAACACCTCACAATTTTCACTCATAACCCCCAATTTTTCTCGTTTTAACTATTTCATCAGAAAGTCACCACAACACTTATAACCACTTTTCGATAAATTCACTAGTCACAATTTTACATATTACGAAGTTAATACGCACACACACCTCACTTTACTTTGAACACCTTCAAAAACACCTTTGAATAACCTCAAAACACCATTTGAGTACTCCCAAATACACCACTGAATACTACTAAAACACCACTGAATACACTCAAAACACCACCAAAATCACCATAAACTAAGATCAACACCCACATCCCACAACACCCACAACCCACAACACCCACATCCCACATCACCCACAACCCACATCACCAACAACCCACAAATTTTTCTCGTTTTAACTAATTTCATCACAAAGTCACAACAACAACAACCCACAACTTATAATCACTTTACAACAGCTCTAGTTCGACAACAACACCCACAACACCCACATCCCACAATTTTTTCTCGTTTTAACTAATTTCATCAGAAAAAGTCACATCAACAACCCACAACTTATAACCACTTTTCAGCATCTCTAGTTCGACAACAGCACCCACAACCCACAAGATAAGATAAGATTTCGTTCGGATTTTTAACCCCGGAGGGTTAGCCACCCAGGATAACCCAAGAAAGTCAGTGCGTCATCGAGGACTGTTTGACTTATTTGCATTGGGGTCCTTAATCTTGTCCCCCAGGATGCGACCCACACCAGTCGACTAACACCCAGGTACCTATTTGCTGCTAGGTGAACAGGACAACAGGTGTAAGGAAACGTGTCGAAATGTTTCCACCCGCCGGGAATCGAACCCGGGCCCTCCGTGTGTGAAGCGGGAGCTTGAGCCACCAGGCCACCGGGCCACCGGGCCACCCACATCCCACAACACCCACATCCCACATCACCCACACCCCCACAACTACCCACAACTTATAACCACTTTTTTTCGGTATCTCTAGAATGAAAAGAAGTTGGATGTCCTGGCCCTAAGCAAAACAAAGCTGAAGGGGGTAGGGGAGTTTCAGTGGGGAGAAATAAATGGGATTAAATCTGGAGTATCTGAGAGAGTTAGAGCAAAGGAAGGGGTAGCAGTAATGTTGAATGATCAGTTATGGAAGGAGAAAAGAGAATATGAATGTGTAAATTCAAGAATTATGTGGATTAAAGTAAAGGTTGGATGCGAGAAGTGGGTCATAATAAGCGTGTATGCACCTGGAGAAGAGAGGAATGCAGAGGAGAGAGAGAGAGATTTTGGGAGATGTTAAGTGAATGTATAGGAGCCTTTGAAAAAAGTGAGAGAGTAATTGTGGTAGGGGACCTGAATGCTAAAGTAGGAGAAACTTTTAGAGAGGGTGTGGTAGATAAGTTTGGGGTGCCAGGTGTAAATGATAATGGGAGCCCTTTGATTGAACTTTGTACAGAAAGGGGTTTAGTTATAGGTAATACATATTTTAAGAAAAAGAGGATAAATAAGTATACAAGATATGATGTAGGGCAAAATGACAGTAGTTTGTTGGATTATGTATTGGTAGATAAAAGACTGTTGAGTAGACTTCAGGATGTACATGTTTATAGAGGGGCCACAGATATATCAGATCACTTTCTAGTTGTAGCTACACTGAGAGTAAAAGGTAGACGGGATACAAGAAGAATAGAAGCATCAGGGAAGAGAGAGGTGAAGGTTTATAAACTAAAAGAGGAGGCAGTTAGGGTAAGATATAAACAGCTATTGGAGGATAGATGGGCTAATGAGAGCATAGGCAATGGGGTCGAAGAGGTATGGGGTAGGTTTAAAAATGTAGTGTTAGAGTGTTCAGCAGAAGTTTGTGGATACAGGAAAGTGGGTGCGGGAGGGAAGAGGAGCGATTGGTGGAATGATGATGTAAAGAGAGTAGTAAAGGAGAAAAAGTTAGCATATGAGAAGTTTTTACAAAGTAGAAGTGATGCAAGGAGGGAAGAGTATATGGAGAAAAAGAGAGAGGTTAAGAGAGTGGTGAAGCAATGTAAAAAGAGAGCAAATGAGAGAGTGGGTGAGTATGTTATCAACAAATTTTGTTGAAAATAAGAAAAAGTTTTGGAGTGAGATTAACAAGTTAAGAAATGCCTACAGAACAAATGGATTTGTCAGTTAAAAATAGGAGAGGAGAGTTATTAAAGGGAGAGTTAGAAGATGGAGGGACTATTTTGAGGAATTGTTAAATGTTGATGAAGATAGGGAAGCTGTGATTTCGTGTATAGGGCAAGGAGGAATAACATCTTGTAGGAGTGAGGAAGAGCCAGTTGTAAGTGTGGGGGAAGTTCGTGAGGCAGTAGGTAAAATGAAAGGGGGTAAGGCAGCCGGGATTGATGGGATAAAGATAGAAATGTTAAAAGCAGGTGGGGATATAGTTTTGGAGTGGTTGGTGCAATTATTTAATAAATGTATGGAAGAGGGTAAGGTACCTAGGGATTGGCAGAGAGCATGAATAGTTCCTTTGTATAAAGGCAAAGGGGATAAAAAAGAGTGCAAAAATTATAGGGGGATAAGTCTGTTGAGTATACCTGGTAAAGTGTATGGTAGAGTTATTATTGAAAGAATTAAGAGTAAGACGGAGAATAGGATAGCAGATGAACAAGGAGGCTTTAGGAAAGGTAGGGGGTGTGTGGACCAGGTGTTTACAGTGAAACATATAAGTGAACAGTACATATTTAGATAAGGCTAAAGAGGTCTTTGTGGCATTTATGGATTTGGAAAAGGCGTATGACAGGGTGGATAGGGGGGCAATGTGGCAGATGTTGCAGGTGTATGGTGTAGGAGGTAGGTTACTGAAAGCAGTGAAGAGTTTTTACGAGGATAGTGAGGCTCAAGTTAGAGTATGTAGGAAAGAGGGAAATTATTTCCCAGTAAAAGTAGGCCTTAGACAAGGATGTGTGATATCACCGTGGTTGTTTAATATATTTATAAATCGGGTTGTAAGAGAAGTAAATGCGAGGGTCTTGGCAAGAGGCGTGGAGTTAAAAGATTAAGAATCACACACAAAGTGGGAGTTGTCACAGCTGCTCTTTGCTGATGACACTGTGCTCTTGGGAGATTCTGAAGAGAAGTTGCAGAGATTGGTGGATGAATTTGGTAGGGTGTGCAAAAGAAGAAAATTAAAGGTGAATACAGGAAAGAGTAAGGTTATGAGGGATAACAAAAAGATTAGGTGATGAAAGATTGGATATCAGATTGGAGGGAGAGAGTATGGAAGAGGTGAATGTATTCAGATATTTGGGAGTGGACGTGTCAGCGGATGGGTCTATGAAAGATGAGGTGAATCATAGAATTGATGGGGGGGGAAAAGGGTGAGTGGTGCACTTAGGAGTCTGTGGAGACAAAGAACTTTGTCCTTGGGGGGCAAAGAGGGGAATGTATGAGAGTATAGTTTTACCAACGCTCTTATATGGGTGTGAAGCATGGGTGATGAATGTTGCAGCATGGAGAAGGCTGGAGGCAGTGGAGATGTCATGTCTGAGAGCAATGTTGTTTGGGGTGAATATAATGCAGAGAATTCGTAGTTGGAAGTTAGGAGGAGGTGCGGGATTACCAAAACTGTTGTCCAGAGGGGTGAGGAAGGGTTGTTGAGGTGGTTCGGACATGTAGAAGAATGGAGCGAAACAGAATGACTTCAAGAGTGTATCAGTCTGTAGTGGAAGGAAGGCAGGGTAGGGGTCGGCCTAGGAAAGGTTGGAGGGGGGGGGGTAAAGGAGGTTTTGTGGTGCGAGAGGCTTGGACTTCCAGCAGGCATGCGTGAGCGTGTTTGATAGGAGTGAATGGAGACAAATGGTTTTTAATACTTGACGTGCTGTTGGAGTGTGAGCAAAGTAACATTTATGAAGGGGTTCAGTGAAACCGGCAGGCCGGACTTGAGTCCTGGAGATGGGAAGTACAGTGCCTGCACTCTGAAGGAGGGGTGTTAATGTTGCAGTTTAAAAACTGTAGTGTAAAGCACCCTTCTGGCAAGACAGTGATGGAGTGAATGATGGTGAAAGTGTTTCTTTTTCAGGCCACCCTGCCTTGGTGGGAATCGGCCAGTGTGATAATATATATATATATATATATATATATTTATATATATATATATATATATATATATATATATATATATATATATATAATATATATTATATAATATATATGAGTACAAGTCATCTATGCTGAGTGTCATGGACCGGGCTGTGGGGGCTTTGACCCACAAAACACCCTCCAGGTATAACTGACTCATCGCTCAAGTAAACAACAGATATAGAATGTGATAAAATGGTTTGAAAACCGACAAGTTGAAGATTGAAACACTAATGCAACATATGGGAATCTTTATTAAGGAAACGTTTCGCCTGAAACTCCATTTCTTCTTACCCCTCTCTGCTTTGTACTGGACTGAAGCTACTGTGTGGCGAAACGTTCCCTTAATAGATTGCTAAATGTTGCATTAGTGCCTCAATCTTCAACAGATAGAATGATGACGGATAGATTGATTGGCGTCATTCTTGCTCTGTCTAAAGTCTATAAGTTGCTGTGAACATAAATTGTGTAAACAAGGCGTCATGTGGGCTTAAACCCATGTTAACCCTTAAAAAGGCAAAGGTTTTTAACACGTTTCCCCACTAAGTTAGTGATTCAATAAATAAAACGCTCATCATAACTCATTCTGTCTTTCCAAAAATGTGCAGACATCACAATTAAAAGTGCACTTAACCGCAACATCCCCGACTGTACTTCCCAACCCTAGAACTGAAGCACCGATAAACAATACTAGAAAATATTAAGTACCGATAATCGATTTCCTCGAATGCTTCCATGAATGTTAATCTCTAAAACTACTTGTTTTACTTATTTTTTTTTTTTTTGGGGGGGGGAAGGACGACCAAACCTCATTTACCTTGATAATGTTATAGCACTTGTTCCAGCTGTAGTGTGTTCCCTGGGAAACAGCTGTCAGTCCTGATTCCACCTCTTCCGTGAGCTCTCGCAGCAACACCTTGAACTCCCTCACCTGGTCCCTGGTTGTCTCCTCGTCCTCCCTGCCTCCTTCCACGCACGAATCACCACCACCTGTCTCATTCCTATCAGGACAACCACCAGAAGAGTCTTCTGTCTCGTTGTAGCCATCTGCGGTGCGTTTTTTCCTCGTGGTATTTGCATTCCCGACTTCCGGCCTACGAGTCGTCATATAGGTGTCATCGGCGACTCTTTCCTCGTTGTGCTGGCAGCCATTAACAGCATCTGTGCTCTTTTGGTAGTCGTACGAAGCATTTGTGTTTGTGTTCAAGTCACAGTCAACTGCTGAGTCATTGGCTGTTATGGCATTATTACTTTCTGCTTCCTTCCTGCTGACAAAGTCATCATCGTCAGTGTCTCCGTTCCTTCCGAAGGCCACTGAGTTATATTTATTTCTAGTGCTTCTTCTGTTGGGGCTGCCGTCGTTGTTGCTGTGTCTGCAACTTACGTCTCGGCCTTTAAGATGATCACCAAGTGTCCCAGAGGAGGCGATCAAGGCATTAGGAAAGTGTGTGTTTGTACGAGATCTACATACAGGCAAAGATACATTAAGAATGTCTACATTTGATGAACAACTTTTGAAATTTCCGTTACTTATCATATACGATTTGAAGCACTATGCTCTGTTGTTGGATTCTGGCACGTCGATTCAAGAGACACCACGCGAGTCTCCTTTGAAGTTCTTGGGTTTAAAGGCACTGCTTCCATTGTTTTACCTTTATCGCTTTTGTCCTTTGTGCTACACACACCAAGTATTTTAGATTTGCGAGTGGAAATTTTGTTTCGCAGAGCGGCATGGGGATAAAAATGTTCTTCTGAACGCCACCAGGTCCTTGAATTTTTACTTTACACAAAATGGTATTAAGGAATTGCGTCTTCCTGGTAGAATCAGTTCCTGGTAAAGGGGTTTAACTTGACGAACGCCCGACGTAGGGTGTAGGGCGTCCATGCTAGGGGCTAGGTTTTTCACACACTCAGCGTCTACCATACCATCCTGGGAGCAGGTCAACTCCTCCAACGGCCTCACGGATATACGAAGGGACTGCATGCTGGCTACGGAGTTACTCTTGGCGCAGCCACCTTCTTGGGTGCTTGTGATTGTCGGAGGTTCTGGGACTCTACTGGTGTCTCCACTCACATCAATATTTGAATTCACTACAAAATCTGGAGACAAAAATATATGTAAATGGACAAACAGAAAGAGACATAAACATAGATTGGTAGATATACATTAATTAGTTGCTAAAAACTGAAATATCGGTAGATAAGTACAAAACTGAATTGGGAGGGACTGAAACTTCCCGATACAATGGACTGTACGTGCTGTCCTGAGCATCCCATGCCCGTGCAACCACGGCTGAGGAGACCAAGAGCTGTTCCATATTCTTGTCGTGCATGGCGAACCCTTCAAGATGGGAGGTTCAGTGTTGACCCCCCCTCCCGAATCAACACTACCCCTCCTGCACACATGAACAGGTACTCCGGAAAGAATCCTGACCACCACCCTCCATCCATCTTACCATGTGTGTCTCGCATAATGCAACTCTAGTGCGGTACATTCACTTATATTTAAGGAAGGCGCCGTGATGCTGTTGAAGGGCTCTTGATCCAGAGAATTAGAGTTACCCTCCTTTCCCTGGATCAAACCTGATTATCCCCCAGGCTAAGGTTACCGACTATTGCTCGGCGAAAATTAGGTATTGGGCTACATTTTTACGATATATACAACCTATGTACACCCCGGATTAAGAATTTCTATAAATATTGGACGACATCGGCCGGGTAGTATCGTAAACTATTTTGTGGAAAATTGCATTTATCTGAATGAACTAAAATTTTGTTTCATAACAGTAAATGATAACAAAGATAATTATTATTTATCAATGTTACATAGACAAGTAGGAATTTGGGACACCTAGGTCGCAAAAAATGTCCCCTTCGAAAACCTACCACTGTCATAACCACAAGTTGCTCTGGGCCTATTAATTAAATGAAATATACATACACCAGGAATACTGGTAAATATATAAATTTTTTGGGGCTGTATATTAAAAATATAAATGGTTATATATATAAAACAATTACATAACAGAAGGAAATAATCTTAATATCACTCACCAATTTGACTGGAGATTTTAAAGTGTATTGTACCCAGAAAACCTCAGTCTAATTTATGAAATTATGGCAGAATTAAACATAAAAAGACTTATCTGAGGTTCCTGGAGCCTGTCTTGTCCAGTCGCCTGTTTCTCAAATTATGCAGGAATGCACATCCAACAATTTCGCCTCCTATTTGAGAGGTGTCAGCCCAAATTTTTTAAACCCCTAGAGCACGAAAAATTCTTCCCATTCACTCTAACGTTTTGTTCAATTCAAAACCAAGATGGCGACTCTCGTTGGGGCAGGGCGCAGGCTTTCCGTTTTCTATGACATAAATATTTTTAAATACAGTATGGCCATCTATTTACATATAAAATACTGAATTTCTGGAAAATATACACAGTATTTTTCCCCACTATTACCATTAATAATAACAATAATAATAATAATAAAATTATTATTAATATTATTATATAATTATTATTATATTATTATATATTATTATAATCTGTAGCAAGCTTTAATGCACAATGTAATATTTAAACCTTGTGCTCTGGTACGGCAGATTTATTTCAATAAGTTACAAATTTTGGCAGTTTTCGAGAGGCATCTTAAAAAATTCCCACACCTTGACTCGGAATCCCTGATCCTCCATTTTCTTGAATATCGTTGTACAAAAGTCGAGATGAAGGAATAGCTTCCAACAAAAATTTAAATGTGTGCAACGAACATCACTGCTTTAATTTTAGCAGCGGGGTGCTTTGCTTATTGTTAAAAAACTTACAATTTTATTATATACCCAGATCCTAACTGCTTCCCTACGTTAATTTTATTTATTAACACTTCGGGGGCCGTTTCCCAGCAAAGGGCAGGGGTGGCCCGAAAAAGAAAAGCTTCACATCATCATTCACTCCATCCACACACTGTCCCTGGCCAGAGGCCATGACTACACTACTGTTTAATTAAATTTGCTAACATTAACACCCGTCCTCCAGAGAGTGCAAGACCTGTACTTCCCATCTCCATGACTCATATATATATATATATATATATATATATATAATATATATATATATATATAATAATATATATATATTATAAATATTTCAACAAGTCGGCCGTCCCCTTCTCACACGAGGGCAGGGTGACCTAAAAAGAAAGAAAAATCTCCAAAAAGGAAAATACCTTTCACACATCATCATTCACACTTTCCACCCTCACTCACATCATAATCACTGTTTTTGCAGAGGTGCTCAGAATACAACAGTTTTAGAAGTTTTTTAAAAAAAATAAAATATACGTAAAAGATACCACAACAATAGTCCCTCCAACTGCCAAAGATCCCCAACCCCCTTTAAAGTGGCAGGCATTGTACCTTCACCCATTTCCAGGAATCAAGTCCGACTATATAAAAAATAACCAGTTTCCCTGAATCCCTTCACTAAATATTACCCTGCTCACACTCCATCAGCTCACACAGGTCCCAGATACCATTTCCGTCTTCATCACTCCTATCTAACACGCCTCACGCACGCTTGCTGGAAGTCCAAACCCTCGCCCACAAAACCTCCTGTACGCCCTTCCCCTTCCAATCTTTATCGAGGACGACCCCCTACCTATTATATACATGTATAATATATACATGTATATATATATATATATATATATAAATATATATATTATATAATTTATATATATATACTGTATAATATATATATATATATATATATTATATATATATATATATATATATATATATATATATATATAAATATATATATATCTTGCCGAATATGTAAAACTGTCAATTACCGAAGAACTCATTTTTAAAATTAAGTCCTTCCTAAATTTTCTCTTTATACGTTTTAAAGATATATGTTTTTTCATGATGTTAATGTAAAAAACTTTAAAAAATAAATTGGGGGGGGTGCTCCAAAAAGAATTTTAGAAAACTTAACCGTACCTATTATAAACAAAACAATTTATTTAGCCTAACCCAACTATATTATTTAGATTACGTTTTACAAAAATTTTAATACTAAGACAAACACAGTGAAATGTAAATTTTTTTTATCGTTAGGTGTTCAGAATGATTTGGCGAAAATTAATTGCATACACAAATTTTCCGCTTGTTGCTATATGGCAAGTAGCGTTGCTAATTTAAGCGAAGATCGCAAGTTCTTCCCTATTCGGCACGACATATACATATATATATACATAAGATATATATATATATATATATATATAATATATATACTATATATATATATATATATATATATTAATATATATATATATATATAATATATAGTAGGTTGGTAGACAGCAACCACCCCAGGGAGGTACTACCGTCCTGCCAAGTGAGTGTAAAACGAAAGCCTGTGAATGTTATACATGAAGGTAGGATTTCTATGTCTTTTGTCTGTCCATAAATATGCAAGATTACAGGTATGTCTGCTACTTCTACTTACACTTAGGTCACACTACAAACACATACATGGGTACACATTTATTTTTATAACACACTCATCTGAGTTTTCTTTGATTTTATCTTAATAGTTCTTGGTCTATTACTTTTTTTTCCTTTTATAACCAATGGGGGGGGGGGGGGGGGGGGGGGGGGGGGGGGGGGGGTTGTGGAAAAAGAATCTTTCCTCCGTAAGCCCTGCGTGTTTGTAAAAGTCATCTAAAAATGCCGGGAACAATGGGCTAGTCACCCCTTGTTTTCCTGAAAGGATTACTAAAAAAGAATAAGAAGAAATTTCAAGTGGGAAGTCTGAATGTGCGTGGATGTTGTCCATATGATTAGAAAGAGATGATTGTTGGATGTTTATGAATGAGAAGAAGCTGGATGTCCTGGCTTTAAGTTGAAACAAAGCTGAAGGGGGTGGAGAGTTTCAGTGGAGAGGAATAAATGGGATTAGGTCAGGGTTTCCAAATAGAGTTAGAGCTAAAGAAGGAGTAGCAATAATGTTGGAAGGATAAACTATGGCAGGAAAAGATGGACTATAATGTATTAAATCCAAGGATTATGTGGAGTAAAAAATAAAGATTGGAATAAGAAAATTGGGTTTGTATAATAAGCGTGTATGCACCTGAATAAGAGAGAAGTGTAGAGAGATAGAAGACATTCTGGGGAAAATGTTTAGGAATGCGTGGGAGTTTTGAATCAAGTGTGAGAGTAATGGTGTTTGGGATTTCAAATGCTAAAGTGGTAAAATGTTATGAGGGAGTAGTAGGTAAATTTGGTGTGGCCAGGGTAAATGTAAATGGGGAGCCTTTAATTGAGCTAAGTTGAGAAAAGAGATTTGGTAATTAAAGTAAATACATATTTTATGAAAAAGAGGATAAATAAATATACAAGGTATGATGTAGGCACGTAAATGAAAGTAGTTTAATATATTATGTATTGGTGGATAAAGGTTGATGGGTAGGCACCAAGATGTAACATGTTTATAGAGGGGCAACTGATATATCGGAATCATATTTAGAGTTGTAGTCTACAGTTAGAGTAAGAGGTAGATGGGAAAAGAGGAAGGTGGCAACAACAAGTAAGAGGGAGGTGAAAAGTATATAAACTAAGGGAGGAGGAAGTTCGGGTGAGATATAAGCGGACTATGGCAGAAATGTGGGCTAGTCAAAAGATGAGTAGTGGGGGTTGAAGAGGGTTGAATAGTTTTAAAAATGCAGTATTAGAATGTGGGGCAGAAGTTTGTGGTTAAAGGAGGTGGGGGCAGGAGGCAAGAGGATTGATTGGTGGAATGATGAAGTAAAGGGTGTGATAAAAGAGAAAAATGGGAGCTATTGAGAGGTTTTTTTACAAAGCAGAGTGTTATAAGAAGAAGCGAGTATATGGAGAGTTAAAAGAAAGGTAAAAGAGAGTGGTGAGGTAGAGTGGCAAAAGAAAGCAGATGAATAGAGTGGAAAGGCACTGTCAAGAAAATTTTAAAAAAATGAAAATCAGAAAAAATTTTTGAATGAGTTAAACAAGTTAAGAAAGCCTAGGGAAAGTAATGGATTTGTCAGTTTAAAAACAGAGTAGGGGAGTTAGTAGATGGGGAGAT